GTCTGTAAAATCTACCAACCTTGTATAGAGTTATGGTAGAGAAAATAACAGATAAAACATGAAATTTAGTTAGGAGGTTTTTAGAGATTACCCAAATGAAATTTCAGATTTTTGAGATGAAGAAAAGTATTTCTAATCTTAAAAAGAAAATCTCTTTGCATTTGGACTAGTAAAAACAAAGACTTGATATATTCATGAACAAAATACTTCTTTTCATCTTTAAATTTTCATGTTTCATTTGCACAACTTCTAGAACTTTTTACATTAATATCAAAAGTTTTCTTTCTGTTGAACTTTGTACTTTATCACTTATTTTCTCTACCCTGACACTAAGTAGTGAAATCATTTGATTTGAAAGTTGAAAAATATGAAATAAAATCAAAAATACCTTTTTCTTTTTTACTGGAATGGCTGCAGATTGTAACAGACAAATATAATTATGAATATTAAGAGCTTTAGGCCTCTTAACTTGTCACAGCTAATTTTATTTTATTTTATTGCTTTGCTGCTTTTTGAATCATGTCTAACTGCCTTGATAAGCAATAAATCACTAAATGGAAGAGTGAAGAGCTTAAGGTAAACAAAGTTTCAGATTACTTTGTGACATTTAACTATGTACACTTGTCAAGGAGTGAATCACAAAAAAATGTTATTTAGTTTTTCCATTTAAGTTTTCTAGTATAACTTTTTAATTCTTATGTTTTAGCTATTTTGTTAAGAACATATACTAATAAAAATAATACACAAAAACAATTTAACATCTACCTTAGGCCTAGGCTGATTTGCACTTTGGTGTCTGCTTTTGTAATCCACCTTCTTTTTTAACTGTGCATTGTCCAAAAATTAATTAATGTAGCTTTTAAGTGTGCATTTTAGAATACAAAAAATATATCAGGCACTAAAGTAGGATGACTCAAAACTATGTTTTATCTAGCCTCATAACTAATCTATAAGGAGGTTAAAAATTTCCATTACTTTTGAAATACTGACTTCAATCTACAGGTATTAAGATCCGCTTGCAAAATAGCAGCTTTCAACAGGTGGAAGTTTCTTATTTTATAATCGGCCTGTCAGTATCTATAATTTGTGTATCTAATTGTTGGACACTGAAACCTATATATGGGAAGAAAAAAATATAAAAAGGAGAATTCAAAGTGCAGAGGGTCACATGACACAAGGAAATGAAGAATGAAAATTTATTTGAATATTTCCTCTCAAAATTTAAACATGTGATACAAAAAATTATTAAGTACATTTTAATTCCAACTGTCTTAACATACATTGCTAATAAAGTAGTTTAATTAAGTTTTGAATATAACTGTAAAAAAAGGTTATGACATGTATTCTTTGACAACATACACACATACACGCACCTGTATCCAGAGCATAAATGTACTTTAGTTTTTCATAATTAAATGTAAATGGTGAAATACGCTATACTAAGATTATTTCTCTTTCAGGTATTAAACAGATTAACCTATGCCTCCACCCTCTCACATCTCAGACGAGTAAATTCTCCAATTGGTCGAGATGGCAAGCTGGCTAAGCCTCGACAGCTACACAACAGCCTTTGGGGAATGATATGTCCAGCAGAAACACCTGAGGTTAGTTTTTGATGAGTTTTGTGTTTAATAGTTGTAATTGGTAACCTATAAATTTGTTAGTGTAAGAATTCAGATTGAAATTGTATGCATATTTCAAAATTAGATTTCATTTTATTACATTTGGTATTCAAGTTAGTTTTTAATAGAATATTCTAGTATTATTAGCTGCATTATTAGATGATATATTAATACTACTAAGATTGTGGTAACTTCTCTTTCACACTTTTATCCCTTGTTATAATCCATCATCAATCAGAAATTATTGCACAACTTGCACTGTACTGTAATACTAGACCTAACACCAACATGAATGGTGTATTACACTTTATGTAATTTTACACTGGCAGAATAAAAGGTATGTGCTAAAAATTACACTTAACAGTTTTTGATATTGTGAAAATAAAACTTGGGATACTTAAGAAAATGTCATACTTTGTCGTAATCAGTCTTGAAAATAATTAAAAATCTACTCACGGCACTTATTAACTCTTCCAACACGGGGTTGGTCGATCTGACCGAGTCACGTGACCTTCTGTACTCATTTAAAGTTGACATAAATTTAATACTTATAACTCTCTATATATTGGGTATATCTTCACGAAATTTGGCAGTCTTTCAGTTAATATTACAAGTCTTTCACATACAAAAAGTTATATTTCTCAGTGAAGTACATTTACTAAAATAGTTTTGTTCATGTTAAAATTAAAAATACTTTTCGTCATCTCAAATTTCCTTTGTGTAATCCCTAAAACCTTCTAAATGCATTTCTAAACGTTTTTTTTTTTTTCAGTAAATCCTTATAGTTTATATGTTATTTTCTCTACCCTAATTTCAGTCAATTCGTCCAACCTTATAACCACCAAAAAAAATCAAAATAAACCTAAATTAACCTTCTTTTCTTTCTAGTATAACTTCAAATTGTAACATGAAACTACATTCGTTTATTCTAAATAGCTCTAAGTTCATAACAGTATACATCTATTTATAATTAAATTTTATTATTTTATTGCCCATTGAATCATGTCTAACTACTATCCGTGCCATTATAAATCGTAAATCACTTGGGGAATGTGCAGCTCATGTTACGCTATCGAATTGCATTACCCACGAATTGCTAGCGTGCGTGCTTCATGAACAATTTTAATTATATTATTATTATTATTATTACTTATTTTACCTATTCTAGTCTTAAATAACTTAAAAGGATCCGTACTTTTAATTGTAGTTACTTTTATAATAATCAATAAAGAATAAAGAAAAACAAGAAATAAGGTACTTACCCAATCTTCCTTTTTCTCGCCCTCGATTGTCGAGGAGAGTTAAGTCTGATTTTTTTTAGTGATTATAGTAAACCACTTAACAATTTTTATTTACTTAAATAATACACCCAAGAATATAGACTAATAACATGCAAAACGTAGACAAATTCACTTGATTCCCAAAATTTTCCTGGCTTTCTAACTATGCAACAAGAAACATTACAAATTCATCCAAGCTAGTCGTTAACTTTCCCACTGGAACAATGTTGCTACTCCCAGTGAAATTGACGGTTATCTGTTCAGAACACAATGTTATACAATACACCATTTGATATATGGAAACCTTGACTTTCTATTGGTTATAGGTAATATATATAATGAAACGTAAGAGAGAACTATCAACGAATTGTGAAAGAGAGGATGTGACAGGTGGAGTCTGATTTTCTCTTTGATAGCTCTGTAACCAAACAAAATTGAAGGCTATAAAAATTATGGTCTGTTTGAGCAATAACAATTTTATAGAGAGCATTTTTTGTTTAATTTCGTGAATTTTTGAGGGGTGATGGATGATGACATGCTAAGACAAAATG